ATAGCATTCTATTATAAAAGTAGATTTTTATATAACTCACGTGAAATAAGCATTTGTACATCATCCTGAGAACGTATTTTTAACGCTTAATATTTTTCTCATGTGTTCCTAGTTTTAAACAACCAACCTATAAAGAGAATTTTGGGATTAAAGATGCTTTTAAATCAGAAGCAGCAGCTACATGTACTGCATCATCAGTAATGGCGTTCTAAAACCTTGATAAAGGTAATTTATATTGATTCTGAAAATCACTATAACACTATAAAAATTTATCAAACATCCTTCAGGAAATTTGAGACTTTATTTCTGTGTCTATACTCATCAAATGGCCATATTCTAAAACCTAAGAGAAAACTATCTATCCAAATACCATATTGTATGTATGCTTTAAGAAAATATCAATGGTCAGTGCATATGTCAACATACGTAAGTGCAAAAGCTCAATTACTCAACAGTTTGATTGCTCAATTTAACATAAACTAGACTCCTATCTGTTCTGGAGTTGGTACTTGTATTTCCATTGTTTTAGTTAACATCTAAACCAATTCTATCTAATTTTAACAAAATCTTGAGAAATGTTAAAATCCCCTTCCATTCTAGGATCCTATGACTAAACTCATGGTGATTTTATCTATGAAATAGTATCTTTTAATTAAAACTATGAAAAACTGAGACTTAACTCTGTAAAATATATATATTTAATATTTAGTTGGTGACTACTTACAGACAGTTCCAGGACACTATGCCAATACCTTGAGCAAAGCAAGTGTTAAAAACATATGTTTGAATTAAAATATAATGGTCAATTAAGTTGACATTTCAAAATCATTTATACTAACTAATGTTTTCTTTAAAAATGAATAAATACTACTCTTGTAATTTAGGTATCTCTTCATGCAATAAATATGTCTTAATAACCAAGTAATAATATCAAATACTTAAATTCTGCTAATTTTAAATAACAAAAAGACATGTAGGCACATGATCAATTGATGAGTAATCCATAACAAGTCGGGATTCTTCAGGAACTACATCTAAGTGCAAAAAATCAAATGCACATGACAGTTTTCTAACAGAACACTAGAAGCCTGTGCTATGCTTCTTGTTAAATGTATTTTAATTAATCTCAAGCAGTGTTACCCGTCTGCCTAAGTAATTCAGTCACACGTATTTATTCAAATTATAGGGAAGCTACATGGTAATTGCAATGATGTTGTAATCCTCTCAAGTGAAGAACCAAAGGTTTCTCTTGGTACAGAAAGCAGAATTGGTAAATATCTGATAGTTTCAGCCAGAAGTGAGATTATTAGGAAAGACAAAAATTGCTCATAATTTCATTCAATGCTTCTGACTTTTCTCACCAATATCACAAATGTCTAAAATGACATTAAAAAAGTTCTATAGTAGTTCCTTATAGAAATATTATTGTGATTTATTTTCTTGCCCCTCCAGTTCATCCTGATAATGAAAGCAAATTTATCATCCTAAATTGTGCTCCATTCATAATGAATTTGTACAAAAGTTTTCAACAAGGACTCACATTCCGTACTTTAAGTAGAAATGCTTGAGCATGGAATGTTGGGCCTTTTACAGTGATGGTCTATACGTAACCCATTCGACTAGCCCGTGTGTGTGTGCGTGTGTCTCTTTTATAAGGCCATATGCAATCCCATTTCCTTGGACTACCCCATGGAAATTTTTATTACATTTGTACTAGCTCCTCCAGCCCATAGTCACAGCCTTCTCCACAATCTTAGAAAATATCAGAAATTTGGACATAAATACATCTTTTTTAAATATTTTTATTTATTTATTTTTAGAGGGGAAGGGAGGAAGATAGGGGGAGAAACATCACGTGTGTTTGCCTCTCATGTGCCCCCTACTGGGGACCTGGTCTGCACCCCAGGCAAGTGCCTTAGACTGGGACTCGAAGCAGCGACCCTTTAATTCGCAGGCCGGCGCTCAATCCCCTGAGCCACACTGGCCAGGGCTTAAATAAATTATAATGACAATTTAATTTAACCTAACAAGAATCTGAGGTTTGGGAAGTATAATTGACTTCTAAGTACTGCATAATTATTAAATGGTGCAACCAGGACTGAACTTTGTAAGTTATATGTTTGTAAGTATGTAGATATAGGTTATATTAAATCTTGCTAGTACTACTTTCCTTGTTCTAAAACTGCTTATTCTAAATTCAGAGTCAAACCCTAGATTTTGCACTCAAGGATTATATATTGTTCTGACTTTATACAATTTTATATAACCTATAAATTAACATGGGTCTTATTTTTCTGGAATACCTAGCTTCTGCAAAACTAAGAAAAAAATGTGAAAATCTCTTCCCATTAGCAACTATATAATCTTTCCCAATCCTGGTGGTATAAGGTAAATATGGTAGGCCTTTACTTCACATGGGGTATTGCCAGTATAGTTGATCCAAGAAGACTACATCTGCCCAGGGCGACCAGAGCGGTGTGATCAAAATTACAGTCTGTGTTGGTGTTCAAGCAGTTAAATCCTCATCAAAACTCATGGGTTCAACCAAGTTCAGGGAAGGGGTCTAGCTAGTCTCTGTAATCACAGATGAATAATAATGGCCAAAGCCTGGAGAGCAGAAGAGAATTTATAAACCCTTATGGACCTAAGGAATGCTAAGAAGTAATTGGAAACCCATATTTATAGTGAAATAAATATGCAGTGTATGGCATATCTAAGACAAGGCCATATTACAAAAGAGAGAAAGTATTTTTTTAAGGAAGTAGAGTAGATTTTTTTCATTAAAATATCTCTTTCCTGTGCATATTGTTTTCCATGGATAATATAAAATAGTTGACACAGATTTGATTTGATTCTCCTCATTTGAGAAAAATTGTGATTATTATATATGGGTTTTCCATATTGGCTCATGATCTAGTTGTTAAAAATAGGCACAAAAAAATTAAATACCTTAATTTGTCTATAGGTAAACACAGAGGTTATTTTCCCAAAATAATCAATAACATTTGATGAATTTTTTTAAATTATATACACACTATTAGTAGTTACCTTGACAAACTAAACTAGTTAAAAGTAAGAAAAGTGGTACAAAAATATCTAAAACATAATGGATACTTTATTTATTGATTTTAGAGAATGAGAGAAACATCAATTTGTTGTTCCACTTATTTATGAATTTATTGGTTGATTTTTGTATGTGCCCTGACCAGGAGTGGAACCTGCAACTTTGGTGTATGGCAACAATGCTCTAACCAACAGAGCTATCTAGCCAAGGTCTAATGCAATGCATATTTTAAAATGTCAGTGCAGTAATGATAGTCAATGCACACTCAATTTTTAAAAAGGAAGCATTTTTGTTTATAGCTAAAGATAAATGCTCGTAGTGTAGCCCTGATTGCCTTAAGATTGTGAGTGCCCCTTTTTATCTGTTTTTCTGTATCTGTGAGTCTCCCAGGATGAAACCCTTTATATAAGGCCACATGAGCTAAATGTGTCTTTTATACACTACCTTAGAAAAAGAATCATAAAGCAATTTCAAATTATTTGACACAAATATTTGTCAGTTGAACTTGAAATATCATGATGTCGGTTACTAACTATTGAGTGAAAAGTGATGTTAAATGAGGGTTGCTGAAGGATGTCATATGACTAACCTGAGGAGAAATGAGAGAGAGGAAAGGAATCATCAGGTGAATTGTATGGGGCAAAATGAGTATAACCTATGAAACCAGAGGAGAGATTTCCACAGAAGTGGAAATAATAGACTTCTGATAAGGGAAGCTGCATTTGAAAAAATAAACTGTCACAAACGCACAAAACGAATAATCAAGTCAAAATTCTGGAAAATTCATAAATAATGGTATTTCTTCTTTAAAAGCAGCAGGCATAACTTTTGTGATAGCAGGTGCTTTTTTGTTTATATTTTTGGCCTGGTCTATCATATTTGCCTGATGTTGCAGTGGATCGAGTGATACTCATATCATTACAATCATTTCTATTATTTAATGCCAAGAAGTAAGAAAAATAAATATCTATGGGAAATGTTAATATTCATAATTGCCCATTATGTTTTATTCTCATGATTTGAAATGAGTGGGCATAAATTGGAAATAATGCAGAGTGAACACAAAAATTGCCTGACATATAAAGTAATATATTAAGATTGTTAAGGGGAAAATAGATAAAACTTTGGACATCAGAAAAATCATGTCACATAGTCTGCAACACAGATTAAAGAGAGAGAGAAAGGTAATGAATCCGTTCCTGAAAACTGAATTCAAGAAGGGAATTACATATTTGCCATTGTCATTTGCTCCCAACTGCTAATGAACAACGTCAACAATCTACAGCAGGATAATGAGCAATATCACCCTGCTACTAGAATGCTATTAAATCTTTCTAAAGGAAGTTTCTTTTGTCCTATTTTCTCCTTTTCTTCCTCCTTCTGCCTCAAACCCTTTGGTCTGGATTGTAGGCATGAAGTAGTTCAGTTTATCTTGATATTAAGAAACAGAAGTATCTACAAGTATTTGTGTCTATTTATTTCTCATACGTATCATACCATTCTTAACTATAATAAATTATTCATAAGTAGAGACAAATACAATTTAGTAATTTTTGGTATATTATAATTGCTTTTGTATTGTCATCTATAATACCCTAGTTATTATTTACACATGATTTAAATTAAATTTCGAAGAAAGCATTTTAATCTTTTAGATGCATATACAAGATTAAATCACATCTAGCTGATTAATAGTAAATCAAGTCCACATATAAATTATTTTATTTTGAGGCATACTATGAGTACTGACCTACATTTAGCTAGTTAAATAAATCAAATTTCTTACGCTACCCTACTGAATATTGTGCAATGGCATGCTTTTTGTAGAACATAATTAGTGAATTATTTTTTAATAATCATTAATGACATGAAAAATTGCTGTAAAAATAAAGTACTACTACTTTCAGCTTCTAAATGATAATATAAACATTCTTACCTTGCCTACATATTGTGTATCTGTCCCTGTGTACTCTTCCAACAAGAAGAACTGATTCCACATCCAGCCACGCTTGGTGCGATGTAGCATTTTACCATTGTCTTTTGTCAGACTCATTATTCTTTTGGTTGGGAAATTACTGTTAGCTTTTTCTTGCAATGGGATAGCATCAACTGAATAAAACATATAGGTCCAGATGAATAGTGGTAGGCAATAGTAAGTCCTCATTATCTGCGTCTTCAGCAGGATATCAAATTCAATGTACCGTCTACTTCCCCTGAGGAGTGGTGGGAGAAAATGGTTTATTAGACTGCGTTTCACTTTAAAATAACCTGTAAACTGTAAAAAAAAATCCTAAATGTTATTTAAATGTTATGTATATTGTTATATATACACTATTTTTCCATGTAACATAAGTAAACTATTCTCAAAAATTCATATACATAAGTTGGAAGACATACATAGCACACACAAAGTAGGAAGTTAATTGTTGACTTTAATATAGTGACTATTGTGCAGCATACAAATGTGAATTATTTGTAATTTAAAATACTGAATATTTTAACAATTAATCTGTACAATATAGCAAAGATCATATTAAGCATTCCTTGAGATTAATAAAAGTACATTATCTATTCAAATATTCATATATGTGAATGTATATACTTTAAATAAAACTGTTTTCTGCACACTATTAAATTTTATGAGCTCTTTCTCTTTCTTCTTCTTTTCCTCCTCCTCTTCCTCCTTGTTCTCTGTAATTGGTTGAGATGTTGCCTAACGGCAAATTAAATGATACTGAATACACTTTGGGTTGTATCTTGCAATACCTACTGTACCGCATTGATCCTTTACAATTGATAACTACTATTTTTTACCAACAATCCTTTGAGTATCTCATAATTTATTTGAGACACAGTTGAACGTGTTCTAAGTGGAAACATTTACCTGATAAATAAAAACAACATGTGTTTATTTCCAAATATAGTGAAGAGCTATACAAAATTGGTACTGTAAAATTAGATGTGAGGTTTTATCTACAGGATAATTTGATCTAGAATCTTGAAACAAACAGTGTCTCTGTTGAGATAGTAAGTGAATTCTTCCTGAAGTAAAAAAGATACCTTTTTTGGTATATCAGAATTAATTTTATTTATTAGCAAATTGGTTTAATGTGTAAAGCATTTAATATAGTGGATGTGAGATGATGATAATGGTGCTGATGATAATGATTTGTTAAGCAATAGAAACCCACCCCAAACTAGCGTCAGCAAAAAAAAAATAAAATGGATTATAAAATCAAATTAATTCTGGAAAGGAAAGAATATAAGGGACAAAGAAGCTACAGGGCGTTTCTTGCTCATGAAAACTAGAATATGAGCTTGAGTACTTGAGTACTCTTCTTTGTATTTGATTCTGTCTCTCTTTTATTCTTTTCTGTCTTGTTTTGAACTCAGCCTTCTCAACCTCATGGAATATAGCAATATATGGAGTTCAGATTTAACATATTCCAAACCAGAAAGCAACTGATAGTCTTTTCTAAATTGAGTTTGAAAAGTCTTGGTAATGGGTTCTGATTTGCCTAGCTAAGGCCACATGCTCAAGGCTGGACCATCCATCTATGAACTCAACTGCAGTTATCCAAACATAAACATCTAATATAAAGCTCTAGCTTAGCTTTATCCCTTATTAGCTCTAAGACTTTAGAATATTTAAGCACATCACTAGGTCTCAACTACTCTTTCTATCAAAGAATAATTAGTATCTGACTTAAGGTATTGTTTATTTACTTTGAACATTTAATAGTCTTTTGTAGTACAAGGGCTTATTTTTAAAACAGAATTTAACTATGAAAATACTAAGGTATAAAGAAATTAAGTACTTTGATAAAGATCTTACAGGAAATAAGTGTTGGAACTCATTTTAGACCCACAGTCTTAAACAGTGTTTTTTAGATTATATATGAAAAGAATTTGGCACAGTCCTGATATATAAATTCTCAATATGTTAATGGTTTATTATCAAACATGGTTACTCTCTATATATGTATATATGTACATATACACACATATATACATACATACATATATGTATATATATAATTTCCCACATAGCAGAGAACGGTGACTGACAGATAATAGTATGGATGTTTGCTATGGTCCAGAGCTATTGGCTCTGTCCCTCAGAGAGATACCCTAATTTTCATACCTATTGTTTTTAAAACACTGTTACTTAACAAAATACGCGTATATAGCTACAAATCTATATGCTTAACAGTAAGAGAAAAGAAAGTCACATCACTTTATATTCTGAAATCTTAGGTGATGAGAATTTTCTTTATCAGGACTTTATGCAGCTATTCATAACTTTGTAACTATGGAACACTAGTAAATTTAATCACAAGAACCGTAAAACTCTGAAATTAATATCAGAAAACTACAATGTCAAAGAGTGCTGAGAACAAGTGCAATGGAAAAGTACCACTGAGTGGCCACTAGCTTGGAACATGGCCTGCGTGTTGTTGATTAGTGATGGTGCAGTGGAAAATGAGCAGCCGGAGAATCGCAAGGACGGCTGATATCTCACTTTGATAAAATACGGCAGATGCTTAGTTGACCACACCGATGATCCCGACTTCCTCCCACTGGGAAATTTCTTTTGGCCATTGTTCTTTCTGATCATCCTTGCCAGAAAAAGTGGAGTGCACTTTTCTTTTCCTGAGGTCTGTTCTCACTACGATGTCCACTCTAGGTAGAATGTAAGCCTTGAAGCTGAAAAGTCCAATTGTATTAGATGGAACCGGAGACTTAGGCAGCAGCTAGGATCCCATAGGCCTTAAAGCTAGATTTAAAAAGTTGTATTCATTTTCAGTGTACTGGAAAGCAGTTTGAAGATTTTTAACATGGTGTGTTTATTAAAGATCAACCTGGCTACAAGCGATGAAAATTAGAGGGTAAGAAAGTATTTTATTAAAGGGGAAATTGGTTAGAATCTTGCTCTAGTCCAGTAAGAGATAACAAGCGCATATAGAGAAGGGGTTTGAAGTGCCCAGTCATACTCTGTTCAGATTCCCTTTGATTTTTTTTTCTTAATATGACCACACAAACACACAGCATACACTGCATTTTTTGTATGCTTTTGCTTCTTCTAATGGCCTGCACCTGCAACTCTTTGAAGAACTTCCTTTGGGGACTGGTGCCACTTTGCCCACATGCAGAGAGATCCTAAAGTGCCTGCAACTCTACAATCATCTCCCACAAAGTCTCCGGGCCATTGTCTAACAGGTGCAGAAGTATGAAAACCTACATGTTATTTACATCCCAGAGCTCCCCTGCAGAACCATGCTGGGGCTGGAACTTTGACATCACATCTTGTTTGGATAACCCCCCTGTTTTGCTTTTCCCCAATTCTCTTTACCTTCCTAACCTAGAAGAAATTTATTACCAATCACTTGCACTCAAATCTGCACTTCAGTGTTTGTTTCTGGAGAACCGGGCCTAAGACATAGATAGAAATTACATATTCATAATATTAAGTACTACCTTCAATGTGGAGGGTAAAAAATAAGAAATATAGTATAATTCTTAGATTATTAGTTTTTCAATTGGGCAGATGATTGAGGCATTTATTGAGTGGAAAAGAAGGGGAATAGAAGTTGTGTTAGAAAACTAAAGAATCAAGTTTTGTTGTTATTCTCAGTCAAAATAAAGAAGTAATTTTTGTATTGCTTCTGCTAACAATATTTTGGCATAATTAATAATAGGAAGGAAAGAATTCACTGCCCTACTGGTTTTATATTGTGTGCGCGCGTGCACACACACACACATACAAACACATAAATGACAACACTTTAAAGTAAAATCTTATATCATTTCTCACAATATTATGAAGCAACTGAGGTACAAAGAGAGTCAATGGTTGCCTGAGTTTATATAAACAGAGAGAGAAATATTGAGAATCAAAGCCAGGTCCTATATTACACTTAGGCTCAACCTACTATCATCTATGATGCTAGCAGCCAGCATTTCTTTTAACTGGCTTTCCATTCTAGGCAATTTGCTGAGTCTTTCTTCAAACATTTTTTATTTAACTTTCATCTCAGCAATATTACAAAAAGAAAGTGGCTGTGTCAGATGAAGGATTGAACTGAGATTTTGCTTGCTGAAGTAACTTACTAATATCACAGGGTGGTAGGCACCAACGGAAAAGGTGGGAGGCATCCAGGATTTAAATTCTGTATGACTGATGACAATTCTCATGACAGTAATTATACAGCTGTTAAGTACCATTGTTCCTTATGCGTCTACCCAGAGGTCTCCTTCATGTACCCAGTTCAGGGTCTTTGTCTTTACTCACACTCTGTCCTTGAACAATCTTACCTGGCTCCTCAATTGGTATCTCTTTCCCATTATTTTCAGTCTCTATAATATTCTGAATTCTTGAAAAGTCTTCTAAACAACTTTTTTTTTCAAAAATAGCTTACACCAATTCAGGCTCTATTGATTTCTTTCATACCATACATGTATTTTCTTTACACCATTTACCATGATTTTAATTACCTCTTTCATTTAGTGGATTATATGTTTATTGACTCTTTCTTGTCGTTATAATGTAGCTTGCATGGTGGTATTTTGTAAATCACTGTGTCCTATATAAAGTAATTATCGATGTGCAGTAAGTACTGAATATGTATTTGTAAAATTAATTGATTAACTGTTTCATGCATAAAATTGGTAATCCCTAAGATGAGCTTGGGATCACTGAGATTGATTGAATATTTCATTCCATAACAATAGAAATATGGAAAGAGTTGAATTTGGAAGACATGTGCCTTTTAAAAGAATGTTGTTTTTTCCTCTAACAAATAGAATACTTTCTGCAGTGAAGAGTAATATTCATGCGAAATTTGCATAACAAGGAATTAGTATAAAATTGATAACATAAGTGGTATAAATGATAGAATGTTTGCTTAAACTTTGAAGCCCTTCCATGAAATATCAACTTTATTTTCCTCATAATTCTTGGCATAATTCTTCTCATTTAGGAAATATAACTGGAACCATCCTGTGACCAATTTAACATCTGCATGTCCCTCTGTTCTACACAAAATGAAAATTCTAAGAGTTTTTTTGTTGCATTTGTTTTTAAAGATAGCAAGTTCTTTTCCCATAGGTTTTATTAAAAATTCTTCATATCCATTATTCATTCAATAGCAACAAGCTGATTACTACATTTTCTATGTTTAATTATCTCTATCAGCCTTAAATGCTCTGCATTTTAA